ATATATAAATATATATAAATCGGTAGACAGGAGGCTTAAACAAGGCAAGCATACAGAAAAAGAAAATGGTTCCTTAATATAACTAAAATGTAATTAATGTGATTGTGTCTATCAAAACCAGTCTATCTTTGATGCCACTCAACTTCAGATTGCATTACTATATGTCATTTTTAGCTCAAACTTAGATGTGGAGCCAGTGAACGAACCTGCTAAATCCTGCTTATTTTATGTAATTTTTTTTTGTACATGTTAAGATCTTCAAAAACAGAAATAAACAAGCACATAAAAATATAAGACGAATACCCCAAACACGAACTTCATCAAAAAACTTCCTCAAAAAAACAAATGTGCATTTTGATAAATTGTCGACAAAACATTTTAAAGTTTGATTATAAAACATGTGACAGATAAGATTCTAACATACGCAAGAGTGGCAGATTTTTTCCACTGTTGGTGACTTAAAACATTAGCGCTCCACAGTAGTGGTCATACCAACAATTTCCAACAGCCCACAGAAATTTCTATATTTTCAAATGGATAAAAAGCATTTTGTTGATTGAGGTTTAAAAAGTGGAATGGGAATACTTCCTATAAGTCCTATGAGTTGTGGAAGCGGTTTGGCGCAGCAGGAATGGTTTGGTTTTTGAACCTCGAGGTCGGGGTTTCAATCCTTCGCTGTGCATTTCGCTTGTGTCCTTGGGCAAGACACTTTATCTGCATTGCTTCTCTTCACCCAGGAGTATAAATGGGAACCTGGTGGTGTTACCTGCTCCTGCACTGATTACCAGCAGCAACACTTAGCTTGTGGACCCAATGACCAAGGAAAAGAACTGTGCTTTATAACCGCAAGGAAGAGGCACATTATAAATGACCAATATAAAACAAAATTTAATGTTTGGAGCTTGTTCCTGTTTCAAATGACCCGCATATACCCTCCCTATGATTTGAGCTTCCCCCTCTCCACAGAGTGTGCAGGTCAGCTTAAGCAACACATAATTAGTTTTCTTTGTTTCTGCCCTTGCATTGTAATTTAATTAATTTGGAAGATGGATCTGTCACCTGGTATGTTGCTATGACACCCATCAAGCCATAACAGCTGTAAAAATTATACAGTACTACAACTAGTCACCATATCTCAGGCATCACACTATAAATGTCTCCCTAAGACAACAGTGGGTGATATCTTTTTTCCATTAGATAATGGTTTTCCCTCTCACCATGGAGAAAATATTTTTTTTTATCTTAATTTATTTTTCCATGCTCTGTCAACCTACCCAGGAAATTGCACTTCCCACTCGCCTTACCAGCAGGATATGCTTCATCTGTACCCTAAGCCGGCAGAAGATGTCTCATTCTGATCCTAAAAGCCTATTCACACCAATATAACTTATGATTATGGCAGTATAACACAACTGTCATACCAATGTCTTTATCAATACAGGTATCTATAGTAAAAGATAAAAAAGTGGGCAACAGAAAAAAAAATTGACCATTTCCCAACCAACAATGAATGTGTAGACTAAACAGCCTGGTTCATTGTATATTGCATCCAGAGAACCTAGACATCATCAGACAAAAGTTTTTTTTATTCTGGAAAACATTCTCTGAAACATAGTGTGTTTCCAGACAACATGTAAAGAGTCTGCTCCATTTCATGCTGTCAGAGAGATTTTCTTTGACAAGCAAGTTAAACATTTCCTGGCATATTAACTTGTATATATCCAGCATCAAGTAAATTAGAGAGCTTGCTCAATCCAAGTATACGTCATTGAATAAACACTAGAACTTGACAATAACACAAAATTCATCCACCATTGAATGTCCAAATCTTAAATCCCTCGGTACGTAAGAAACACTTTAAAAAAAATTTATAATGAGCAATATTATTATTTTTTAGGAATTTACAGTATTTTAAATATTCATATTTTGCATTTTGAACTGGTAGTTTATTTTGTATCTTGTTTATTAAAATAAAATACGCTATATTAATGCAGAAAAAATATACACTTTAAATTAATAATAGAAGAGTGCTTTTCCAGGCATCACCTATGCCCTAGCCAGCTAATGGCACAGCTGACAGTCCCACACAATTTTTCTAATGGGTTCACAAAGAATGGGTCCACATTTTTAAAAATGGGTCCAAATTATGCAGTTTTTTGCAATAAATGAGTCCACTTTTCGAATAATGGGTCTAAATTTCTCATATTTTTTCTAAAATGGGTAAACATTTAATAAAATGGGTCCAGATTTTTCATATTTTTGTGTAAAATGGGTCCAATTTTATAGAAAATGGTTCCACATTATTTGGATTTGTGCGTAAAGTGGGTCCACCCTGATATTGTCCCACACTGTTTGAAAATCCTGGGTACGGCATTGGGCATCACCAAACATTTTCTTCACAATCTATCACATCATTCCGCTTGCAAGGGATGTCTCTAGTGGTAGCTATATCTGGACAGTCTGTTCGGAAATGTACAAGTGAAGAAATGACATTGTACACTGTAAGATGTATAGTGTATCAGTAAATTGCATTGGAAGTGAAATGTTAACTTCTGATTGGCATATAATACTGTAGGTAGTTTTTGCCGCACAACGTTAACCTTAACTTTACTAAAGTACCCAGCATGCAATGCGAAAGCTCCGCCTCTTTTGTAAACAAAACCCGTAACTAAAATACGTCGAGCACGTAAATCCTGAAATTAACATACTCTGCAACGCAAGATGAATAAATTACAATGTCATCCATTAACCTTGAGGTTAACGTCGTGTGGCGAAAACTACCTAAATAATAATTAAAATATAATTATTTATTGTAATCTGTATGTAGTTAATCAGTTAAATGGTATTAGTTAAAGAATTGTTTAATTTCAGTACAGTATATCTTGCAGGGATTGGTAATGGAATAATTAAGTTCTGCCTCATCTACACAGGGCTTCTTTATGACCTTAACTTCTGTGTCTCCCATCTCATGAATATTTATAAATACAATTTCTTACATTCTTAAAATAGTTGAATCATACTAAGCATAACAAAAATATTATACAGTACATGTATCCATATTATCTTAATATAACAGCCATCTGCATAATGATATAAAATATAAAATGTACTAATGAATATTATTAATGCAAGCAAGGCTCTGGAAAACTTACTTTAATTGTCTAAGACACTGGGGTATTTGATGAAATATCTGGAATGGCTAAGGATAAGATAGATTTATCTAAATAAAAAACTTTAAAAAGGGATACCTGCTATAATCTAATTAGAAAAAAAGAATTGTCAGCCCTACTGAATCGTTTATATGGTAGGGTTTTGTTTTGAACATAATCTTTATCAGTATATTTCAGGAAACCAGGGAGGGTGAGGTTGGAGGCTAAATAGGCTTTGGCATAGTAGAGTAATTTAATATTAATGTTTACCAATTTTATATAATTTGAGAACTGATTTAGCATACTCAGTTACCAAATATCCCATTTTTGAAATTATGAATCTTCTAGGTCTTCCTTATATAGACGCTCTAAACCAAGTCGGTGATGATGTACCAGGAGCATTGCTCCATCCAAGTTTTTAGCAACAGGCCATTGTAATGCTCAGGAATAGGATGGTTCCAGACAATTTGTTTGTATTATTTACAGATTACTGTACCTTTGTGTTCGTATAATCTAATTATTGAATGGTACAGTTAGGCAAAGAAGTACAGTAATTGTAGACCTAGCGCACGAGCATGCTAAATCAGTTTATATAAAATTCTCCCTTAAGTCTAAATTAAATTTCAAGGTGCAATAATATTTAATCATTGTTAATATTCAAATACACATGAGTAATAGATTAATAATAAATATATATGATTATTTTTTTATTCTCCAGGAAATACATTGAAATCAACATAATTGATGATGAGGAATATGAAAAGAATGTGGACTTCTATATCGAGCTTAACCCACCGTTACTGGTCAAGAGAGGTAATGGTAGTGGTATGTGTTGGGATTTTGTTACTAACCTCTCACCCCCTCATGGCTTCTGACCCATCATAATCTCTCACCCAATCATAACAATTTCTAATAGTGCTTGCTAATTGACTGTAGGATTTAAATAATCAGTAAAGTTATTGATTTTATTATAATCCACAGCTTTAATTATTGCACCTAAGGCTAAATTCCTAATTATTGCCTATTAGGCTGAATCCTCAATTACATCATTATTTATTAGAACCCTGTCGCTAGTACTTACAGCTCGTTTGACTTCTCCATCTGCTCATTAATGTCTTTCCTTGGCCAAACAAATTCTCTGGTGTTCTGTTTTCCTTACTTCGCTGATGTATCACAAATCTTATTTTCATGTAAAATGAAATGGCTTTGTAAAATGCACTGAACAGTAAATATATGCTCAGTAAACTACACATTATTTTTTATGAACCAAATTTGATGAACTAATAATTCAGCCAATTCTTACCACAAATCTTAAAATTTAATATAATATTGTTACTTAGCTACCATATCAGTTAACATTTTGCAGGTATAGAAAATGTATATACCCTTAAAATACTACATGCTAATCTTTAGAATATTCAATAATTAAAAATTCTATTTTCATTAAGTAGGCCTAATGATAATATAAGAAATGTTTTATTAGTTACTAGTTCAAATAATATTATCTGAAACTGTTTACCCTTTTGAATGTATAGTACAAACATTTTACCTAAAATTTTATTATTAGCATAGTTGTCATAATATTCCCTGTATTAAATGCACACACTATAATATAATTAATATGTGTCTGATATTATTTTATATATTTATGTATGTCTGTATATTAGATATCAAAATAATAATGGCAGGCAATTTGCCCTTACATTTGTTGACCTTCTAAATTGCTTGTAATTTATTTGCAACAATAATATTTTGCTTAAAAACAATATTTGTGGTACTGATTGAGCTTTTGACATTTGCATGAATTTGAATGCTGGATATTTTGTTTCAATAGTATGTTGTATTTTAGTCTTATTGTACAATTTTGTTGCATTTGTCTCTTCCAAAGTATCAAAATAACAAGTTGTGAAAAATAGAATAGATTTTTTGTTTTATTTTTTTGTCTATGACAAAATTATACTGTAGTTAATAGTGTACCAAGGATGATGATTGGAGATCTTCAAAGAACACACAAGTAATATTACAAAATGACAACATAAAGATTCAGTTAATTACTAGTAATATCTAGTGCAGGATAGTTGCAAATTCCAAACATGTAGTCTGGTTGATTTAGGTCAAAATCCTGGGCTACCGTGAAAAAATAGTTAACAAATGTTTTTTTTGTATCAATCAATGCACACAGATGTTCTCTTTAACATGTGAAAACTGCTCTTCAATCAAAAAAAGTTATAGCTGTTTTACTGAAGCTCCCCCCCCCCCCCCCCCCCCCCCCCATTTTCAGTTAAACTTCAATGATTTCCCACAGATAATACTTAGACCTGCATATTTTGAGAAAAATGTTTGAAGGCTTGTAGCTAGTAATCCCATATAAGGTATCTAGGAGAGTCAGGATGAACATATACACCTGTCTCTTATACACATCTAGATGTGTATAAGAGACAGAAATAGGCTTTGGCATAGAAAAAAAACTTTCCAAAGGGGGTGGGTGCGGCTGGTCCGTCCCCTCAAACTTATTCCCTGATCTCTGACAGGGACAGGGTATTGTTCTTGAGGAGGCCAATCTTCCCGATGGAAGTAGGTGTGGCCAGGGGTAGACAAAACTCCATAGACAAGGATTTAAAAAGCTTATTTAATTGATTTTATAGGTATGCATTCTCTATACTTCTCTACGAATTCCTTTTTTTTCCTCCCCGACAAGGAGAGGCAGCTCTTTTCGACAGCACTGTATCTCCCTCCCCCATCGGTCACGGTCTTTTCTTTCTTCGGTTCTATGGTATAATTAGCTTTAAGACGTATAAAAACAGCTTGAAATGCCCAAATTCAACAGACCAGTTAGTCGAAACCTGACCAAAGCTCTAGTCGGCCCTTGATTCTGGAGCCACCACTGGCATGTGTGTATAATTGTAGATGATTATTAATTTATTTCCTTTAGATCTAATTATTAGGAGCTGATCCATTCTTTATCATCATTTCAATGGTCTTTAATACAAGTTGGGGATTGGTTTTTAAGAGGAGGCATACTAAAAATTTGTGATCGGCCGAACCAATCTTTTTGATTATTGTTGTGTCTGGTCAAATTGTAGTATTCAAAATACTAATTGTCTTCAATTCCTTATGAACAGGTTAGGTAGGATTTTAATTTCTGTTGATATCAGGGTTCGTACGTGTCCTTAAATTCCTGGAATGTCCTGGAAAAATGAATGAGCATTTTCCAGTACTGGAAAGTCCTGGAAATTTATGATTGTCCTTGAATAGTTCTTCAATGTCCTGGAAATTTGATTATTTACCCATTTATTGTATTTCGCATTATATATGTAAATTCCAGGTCATGATTAAAATAAACTAAAAAATGTTCGTTTATTATACACAATTAAAGTATAGACCGTTGGTCGCATACTGTAGCTATTTCTCAAAAGTAGGGCGGCATGTCTATAATATTACTTTACACACGCGCGGCTCTCGCTCTTTGACGTTACACAAAGGAGACGCGCGACGGGTACATGTAAGGGCACTAATAATTTTCGGTACTGTGAAATACAGTACATGCTAAATTTGGGCATGTATACACTGTCGACTGATTATGTACTGTACAGCATTTTTTTTTATAGCGCAGACAGGGTTATGGCAGCTGAGGCGTTGAAAACACGAAAGAGGTAATCTAAGCTAGATGAGTTAGATAATTTAAAGAAGAGTAAGAAAAGATGTATTGCGCTGATATTGAAGGTCTGAAAAAGTCATCCATAAGGTTTGCTGATCAGGCCGAGAGTAAAGGTAGTTAGACCATAGAGAAATCTTCTATTTTCTCTATGGTCTGACCGTATCGCCAAAAGCGAACAACCTGCGCGTCAACTGCCGCTGAGAAAAAGTCATTACTGGCAGAAATTGAGGCGAACATTGCTTCAAAATTAGAAGAAATAAAAAATATGTAAATCCAGAAACTACCATACCTATGACATTGTTTCAAATAAAGTGAATTTTTTAAAAGGAATATGCTGTCATTTTTGTGTTGCTATTCTGTGTTAAATTTAGTGCTTGCAAATGTTGATAATTCAATTTTACAATGTACAGTATATATTTGCTCTACGTATAAACAAATGCAATCATCGCAAACACATCGTACGTTAACATTTGCTGTATAATAGATTATAAAAGTTTACATAGGTTTATAATATTAATTATAAATAATAACCATGAATATAGAGATGAAATAAACGACTTCGCAGTACAATTAAACAAGTTTCAACATTTTAATGACCAATATGTATGAAATAACAATTAAGATCTCCACAATGTGTACCCAAAACGAAGGAGATTAGGACACCGGGGGCCTATATTTACTGTATATTGCTTAGCAATGTCAACATCGCTACAGCTCCTTTCATGTAAATTGTTGAATAGCCCTGAACAGGCATACACTCCACCGAGGTGTCACAATGGAATCAAGTTATTACTGCCACGCCGGTACCACAAAGCCACCGACAGGTTTAGCGATAAGACCATGTTGTACGGGCACATTTTTGTTGCCTAGCAGAGAATCAGGTCTGCTGTGGGCTCTTACTTGCCACACTCGTGGGATGAATTCCTTTGCGTATTAGCACACGTTTGAGACAAACAGAGTTTCCCACGAGCGTGAGAAAAAGACACCGATCTATCGCCTCTGAATTAGATTTAAGTAAAACTTAATATGCAATCAACCAGCAGTCTTTACTGTGATGGAAACAACTAAATTGAATTACTAAATAATAATATGCATAAGAACATCTTGCAATTAAAATTAGTACAGCATGCATGTTGTATAATCAATCATAAAATTGGCAAATTGTTTTACTTTTATAGTAATAAGAGATATTATGAGTCCTTGAAATTCGGAAAATTTGACCTGGAATGTCCTGGAATGGTCCTGGAAATTTGCTTGTTTAAAAACATAAGACCTCCATTGATTATATTTTAAGTTCCCTTGATGGGAGAAAACTCAACGTAAAATGGAATGAACAGTTAACTCTTTGACTAATAAATGTTTAAAAGGGCTTGCCCCTCCATACCTAGCATCCAAATTTAATTTCAATCACAATATACATTCAAAATGCACATGTAGCCAAATGCATAATGATTTAATTGTACCACCTTGGAATAACATGAACGGCCAAGCACCACTCGGAGGGGTTCTAAAGAGCGAATCACCTGGAAACTTGAACAGTTAAGGAATTGAAAGGCTTATTTAATCAATTTTAGAGGTTTTTGTCTCCCCAACAAATTGTGCTTCCATGGGAGGGAGAAACCTTGGCATCCCCCTCCCCCATTAACACGAATCCCCATTTTTTCCTTTTAAGCAAACTCTGATTAACCAAACTAGCTTGTATTAAATAATGGTGAACTTTGCCATTTAAATGCTAGAATACTTCAAATACTGAGGCCTTTCCCCTCCCCATCGTACCCCTCCCCATCTTACCCCCTCCCAATCGTGCCCCTAAATAGGTACTTTAAATATAGAATAAAATAATAGAAATAGAAGAAATTAGAAGAATAAAATATAAAATCACGAGTAACTGAAAATAGAAATTAAAGGGCACAAGTTCCTTAAAAATATAAGGATATTCATGGGGGCCTAAGTATTTATGGGTGTAACTATAGCCAAAGGCCCGAGCCAGGGGTGGGTATGGGAGGGGGTGTTCCCTCCTCCCAAAACAAGATTTTTTTTAAAATTGGTACTTCTAGATGGCTGGAAAGGGCTAAGATGGGAAAACTAGGCCCATTTTTTTTTTCTTTGGTGTGACTGCCTGACAAGCTTTGACCGAGGGGGGAGCTTGACCAAACCAGAGGGGGATTAAGCCCCCGCTGGCGCCGCCACTGGTGGGGGAACTTCACTATAATGACTATAACTTTTTTCCCCAAGGAGGATGTTAAAGAGGACACCCTTGCACATCGAACCTGGAAAATCTTGGAGGATGCATTAGCGATGCCATGTGTACCGATTAATTAATCACATATTTAATTTTTGTTGAAAATATGAGAAAATGTATCATTTGAGTCTCACAGTGAGTATGCGAGACTTGGCAACCAATATGCAAGCACTGTATGTGGCTTCTATTCTTTTATTTGATTTGATTGTCTCTGTATATGTATTTTATTTGTTTTATTGTTTTTTGATGGCATTAATTATTCCATGGTGGGCTCCCCATTGTTGGATGTGAATGTAAATAATATAAAATAAAAAAATATTTGATATCAATGATCATAAAAAACAAAAACAAAAGCAAGAGGCACAGAGTGAAATGTTATATCTGAGATAACCCTCTCGTTCTTGCTTTAGTGCCATACTTTTCATACAACCTTAGTCTTAGGTCAGTTATATTTTTCAGCTAGTGTAAAAAGAAAAATAAACCATAGAACCAGGTTTACAAAACACCAGAACAAGTAACTTTTCTTGGTTCAGTATTTGTTTGGCAAACCTTCAGTATTTGTCTTCTTAGAATATACACTCTATGAGGATTTGTCTTCTTAGAATATATTTTAAAAAAAAGATTATTTTGAACCAAATTCCCAGTTTCCATGTTTGGGTATATCAGTGATTCTTATTTTATTAGCTATTCCTGTTGATTTTTTCAAAAATCAATTCAAGGTCTTAAAACATTGTATTAAACCATATAACATATTTGTACATCATCTGTAAAAATGTATAAAAATTATTTGACGATACAATATGTCTGTCTAACAATACATGTTTCATCTTGTGTTTACACATTTTGTCATCATGTTCTGTTATTTTTATTTTTGTAGCTTTTATTTTAGGATAGCCAAATGTACTTTAAGCCTTGTTTTTTTTTGGTCATCTGTCAATTAAAGATCATTTATTCTTTACAAGTATTTACTTGATACAGAAAAAAACTAATTTGGATGTCAATATATATACAGTAACTGGCATGTCTTTCAGGCGCTGATGATCATGAATATGACAAGCAACAGGCAATGTTAGGCATGACTGAAGATGATCAGCGCGTCGCTGACATGGGTTTACCTCAACTAGGAGACGTCACCAGGTTGCAAGTGCACATTGTGGAAAGTCAAGAATTTAAGGCAAGTAATAACAGTGGTGGTGCCAATGAAGGGTAAGGGGGAAATTGCCTTTTTATCGGACCAGCATTGAACCATGTCATACAACACCACGGTGAGTTAGTTGCAGACTAAAACATTAATCTGCCAATCTAAACATTATTTTAATTTCCAAACCATAATAATAAATTGTAAAAGCACAATTTTTGGTGATCCCTAATCCATAAAATTTCTCTCCATGTACTACCCCACCAAGGGTTACATCCCGAAAATTTGCTAGAAATGTGACATCAGTTACTCATTTCTGATGCGATGCGATGCAGGTAGCTGTTGTTTTCCAACTGCATACTGTATGTTGATAATGCAATCATAGAATGGTTTGTTGTTCATTAACAGATTTTATTATTATAAGTGTATTTTACTCAATTCATTTTTGTTTGCTTAGCACTGGTTAAGTGTATTCAAGCAAATAATAATTACTTTTTTAAATGCTTAATTTGTTATTCATTTATGCCTTCAGAACACAGTGGATAAACTGATAAAGAAAGCAAACTTGTCTCTTGTGGTTGGCACATCATCTTGGCGAGAACAGTTTTCTGAGGCCCTTACTGTCAGTGCTGGTAAGATGATGTAATTTTATATAGCGATTAGATACAAAAACAATAGATCAATCCAGTTTCTGATAATTATTTTCATACACTTTTGTACCAGTAAATTTAATTAACAGTAAACACTGTTTAGAATGGTGTACAGCACATTTAATTATGATAACTTGGTTTATCTTACTTAGTTATGTTTATATTGTTAGACACATTATGAATTTAGTCATCACCAGCATAAGGGAAGGGAGTTCACAGAGGTCACGTTTGAATTGTAAACACATAAAACAGTAGTAAAATGCTTTATAGATGATGTCTGATGTGTAGTTGAACTGCCGTGAATATCTTATGTTTTTAATGAATAATAAAGATATAGGCGATGAAACAAATGGAAATTTTATTTGAAAAACCTGAGAGTTAGGTGTTATATGTAAATACCGTTACAACAATTCAAACTCAGCTGTCACTTGATGTTTATACCCTTCGCTTCTGGCTAAAGCATAACAAGGTTTTTATCCATGAATACGAAATAATGGGATAAATACAACGGGATCTTTATTACGTGATTTCACTTATATCATGCAAATAACATTCTTTAAATAAATCAAACCACTAAAATTTAATATTTTTATTGTAAAAAATCTGCTAATATGAACAAGGAAGCAAAGCAAGCATTAGAGTTTAGAGGTTAGTTATTGCAAAAAACTTTAATTCTCTCTATTTTTTTGTACTTGGTTACTTAGCGCATACTTACAGCTTCTTTAACACAAAAACATCAGTGAATATCACTAGAGGGGGCTGTGCTTTATAATATATTGTCACATAAATCTGAAGTCAATTGTTTCTTGTTGATCTGCTGTTCAAATCCACTCTACTTAATCTTTCAGCAGAATGTAATGATGGGACATGGTGTAGCACCTTCTCTCAATTAGCTTATAAAGATTAATGAGGTGATGATGAAAGAAATTGCTGAAATTATATAACCCTTTAATTAATAGTTGTATTACTGTGTATATCTCATATATAATGGGATGACTTCAAATTTGGACTTTAAGAACACTGATTTATTCGTAAGTCAGTTACATCTGGCGTTTGACATCTCATTATGTCTTTCTACGTTCCATTGGAACACACATGGATTGGTTAAACCGCCTATGATATGGTTCAACTCTCATTATAGTGACGCATTATATCACTACTTCCTTATATCGTATATACTCGTGTATAAGGAGACCTGCATATTAGACGACCCTTAATTGTTTGACAAGATTTTTGGATGATTTTTTTATGTCGGGTGTATAAGACGACCTTTTGTTTTGTCTTCAGAATTCCTACTTTTTATGTTCTTGATACTGCATCTAGCTGGCTAAAAACTTAGCCAAATGCAAGGCTTATCTTCAAAAAAAATTTTAAAATGTTCAACAAAATCTTATTTACCTGTATTTAAAACTGCATTCATTCATCATAACATTTAGTAGCTTCATTGCAGTAGTAAATTCGTGTGATTTAATTTTTATGTCGTGTGTATAAGACTACCCCATGTTTTTCAATCGTAATTTGCTATTTTAAGCCTTGTATATACGAAAAATATGATGGACTAGGGTATGTGCAATCCCCTCACTGATGATGGCAGTAGAATCTGCCGAAACATATGGCCAACAATGTACTGTAGGGCATATAAAATACTCAAGCTTAGTCTGATATGAGCATTTTAAAGATACACTATCTGCCAAAACAATTGGGGAATAGCTTATTTTACAGGATTATATATGTTGTTAACTTCATCCAGAAGTAGATAAAAAGATTTGTTTTCACTGGTTTATAGACAGTTTACTACAAAAATTGTTAAATTGAAGCCATTAAGGATGACAATTATGCGAACATGTGCAAACAATTAGTTCATCTGTCTAGTGCAGAGTGCTCAGTAACAAAACTAAGAGAAGAAAACATAAAATAAATTGTATAAATATATAAATTCTCTATACATTAAGGGTTATCAGATAACATATCACGTCAAAATTCCATTCGCATTTACGTTAATTTCGAACAAAATTGTGATATTTTCAAATTTTTATTTTTACGGTATATAAAAATAATATACCCTGGAAGTGAATTAGCTTATCATGCAAAAAATGCCATTAAATTCATAGAGGAATAACATGCTACATTATTATCTTTGCAAATGAATACAGGAAAGGTATTAACTGTCCGTTAATTGATGGGGAATATTTTTTATTGCAAGTTAATAACTTAAATATCATATTAACTATGGAATTGAATTTTTCAATTTAGTGCATCTACACAGTCATTTTTCGTTTTAAAACGCATAGAAATTGGCATTTTTTTTAATGATTATGTATATGGATATATTTTATGAAATGTTACAGTATTTTGATATAGATTAGAACCTATTATTTACAACATAATTGAACACTGTGACACTTTGGAATATTATAATGGGAATCATATTACGAGTTCAGTTTCTGCTTCAGAATTTACAATATTGTTACATAATTTATTATTTTTGCTTATTTTTAACCTTCAGGAGATGATGAAGGGGATGACAGTGAAGAAAGACTGCCCTCATGTTTGGATTATGTAATGCACTTTCTGACTATATTTTGGAAAATCCTGTTTGCGTTTGTCCCACCAACTGATATCTGGGGCGGTTATGCATGTTTTTTCGTTTCTATCTTTATGATTGGTTTGCTAACTGGCGTGATTGGTGACATAGCTTCCTCATTTGGATGTACTATAGGACTATTGGACAGCGTTACAGCTATTTCATTTGTGGCACTTGGCACTAGTGTTCCAGGTCTGTAGTCTGCTAAATTTCATTGTTATATTTCATATCAATATATAAGATTTTGACTTGTGCCTTTATTGCATTATGAAATATTCTGCATCTAGATGAATTCTTAATTGTTATAAATCATCATCTTCATAATTATTTTGGAAATATTAAATGTAAAAAAATATATATTAATTTAATTTTTATGTTTTTTCAGACACCTTTGCCAGTAAGGTTGCGGCTGTAGGCGACAAATATGCAGACGCATCTATTGGCAATGTAACTGGAAGTAATGCAGTAAATGTGTTCCTTGGTATTGGAATTGCATGGTCCTTTGCGGCTGTATATCATGCAATAAAGGACACCACATTCAAAGTTAAAGCAGGTTCACTTGGTTTCTCTGTTACTCTCTTTTCATTATTTGCCTTGGTTGTTATTACCATTCTAATGGTCAGACGCAAACTAGCTGTCATTGGTGGTGAGCTGGGTGGCCCAAAAAATTACAAGCTCATGACTTCAATTACTTTTGCATCAGTTTGGATGGTCTACATAATTCTGTGTAGTTTTGAGGCATATGGTTACATTCAAGGATTCTAAAGAATATTGCTCATGGTAGGGAATGTAAAGTTGATTGTAGGACAACCGCTAAGTCCCATGGGAACCATATTACAAATACATCTGTAGTGCTATTGGAAACTGGAAGAGGATAACTGATCAGCCTAGATGATGAAATAGTATTAAATATAGGCCTACAATTAAAATAAGAAGTTGATAACTTATGCAAATAATATATAAAGCAGACTGCTTGAGATTTGCATATTGTACCTGCAAATAGACAAATATTCCAGGTGTATTATTACTTTTAATAATAATTAAATTTCATAATGTGTTACACATTTATGATTTAGTTGTGCAGAAAATATACATACATGAAGTATATTTGATGAAATGTGTATGTATCCATTGCTTTACATCTGATTTGCAGAATATGTAGTTAATTTGCACCAACAAACAGTGTAAATCAACTATAATGTTTAGTCATTAGGGGTTGCCACAATTGATTGCGTATTATTTTCGATCAGTTTATTTAAATTACCGGTATGTACATTGGCATATTATATTTATTCCAAAGGAAACACATTTAAAAAGCAGGCATTTTTTATATATTGAATAGTTAACATTATGATCAGGATATTTCCCCATACATTATAGAAACCAAATATGCTATTTAATAATGTGCTGTGTATATGAGGGTTTTGTAGGTATGTTTTGCTGAAATTGTAGTGCAATGTTTATGTAGGAGATGCAATATTATTTGTAGATTAGATTATTTATTTATAAAACTTATAAGATAAGTTCCAAATGAGTTGTTATTCTAGCATGAGTGCCTAAATTCTTAATGTGAGTCTGCAAATAATTAGTAAGATAAAGCATATATATAACATTTAACAGTACTCCTATCCCTTTCCTCCAGATTCCAAACCCCAATTACAGTATCTTTCTTCTCTTGTTATATTAATAGGACAGTTTGGCAATGAATGAACATTTCCCATCATACATTCATTGGAAGTCCATAGCCTGTAGATTACTGAATCTCAGGAAATCAAAAAGAAACATTTGTATTGAAATATACAGTTGTATTAGTTGCACCAAATACATTTTTATTCTGTATAACATTTACATGGTTAAAATATACAGTAAACTATTTAAATCATTAATGAATTTGAAATATTCACTGTATTGTATTGTGTCTAATCATCAATTAGCCTAGGTGTTTAATTAAAGAAATATACAAAGTGATAATACAACAATAATATTAGTGTTCAGTATAGTATATTAGGTACAGTTGCAGATACAAGATACAGTCAATCTACTATGTAGTTATATTGTCAGTTTATTTATACAGTAATGTTTAACTTAAATGATTGTGATTAATTATAACGAAAATATAACAAAAAATAAACAAATTAGGGCCAGTGAGTTTATAAGGTCATTGACATTCTCCAACAGACAGTTCAGCCAATCAATGAGCAAATTTAACACAAAAAAAATCATCAATTACTAAGCAGTTGTAGTTCCCTTAGTAGCACTCATTATATGTACTTAACAACCCACCCTTATTATAAACCATTTCCAAAGAAACCACCTAAAAACAATTAAGGATAAAGTAATATTTATCTGTGGTATTTGTGTTGTGAACATAAGTTTAAAATTATTATTACAAATATATTTCTTTATTTTTTATTACACCTTTCCAGTATGTTGCCACATCCATTCTTAATTAATTATGGTCTTCTATGAAAGACTCAACTGTCCTGGTTTTATTTTATCTTGGCCCAATACATCAAAAACCATATTTACAAAACTTGGCGTTGACGGCTTATAGTAGTAGTGCTTATAATGGAAAACTCAGGGTATCTGTGCAATGCCCAACACTAAGATTAATTGTAAATTAGGGTGTTCATCTTTTAATGAACCAATTATTCCTGTTACCAACAATTGGATGTGTTCAAGGGATGAAACCAGGACTGTATTACTGTGTACATCGACTCATAGAGGGTTGGTGGGCCTGTGATATGAATTAACATTCCCATATGAAACTGCCTTTGTTTTAGTTTTGTTGTACAAACTATTTCAAAGGATGATCTAAAAGATAGTTAACATTATTAAAGTACATTTTGTCTGGGATTCTCATAAAATATTACAAGATAACCATTAAATTATTCAAATTTAATAACCTTTTAGGCTTCAAAAAATGTATAAGCCATTTTTTGTGGGTGCAATAGGGTTTGTTTTGATGTGTTAGAAATATAATATAGTGAAGAATGAAGTGTTTTGTATTTAAAAATATGCATACCCACATTGCGAACATCTCTTAGTAAACATTTGTATATGAAATAGAAAACAAATTTGTAATAAATAAGAGGCCTACCATATTCTATGTAAATTTCACTAGGCATGATATACATTCTTCTTGTTGACTTAATAATCATTAGAGTATTGTTTAACAATTTTCAAACCAAATTCATAAACAAAACAGGATTGACATAGTTTATCTATTATCACTGATACTATATCCTCGCTATTACACTGCACATATTATAAAGTATCATGTTATAGAGACTCAAAATATAAACCTTTTTAAATTATGGTATAATTGTTTATTGGCAGTACTGGATTAATAAAATTTATGAAGAAATTTTAAGTGGGTGTGGGTGTGTGTGTGTGTGAGAGAGTTTAAAGTATATATAAAGTATGTATGCATGCATATCTGTGCATGCGTTGGCCAGTGCTGAAGGCACTATAAGCAGGCATAATGTTGGCAACCAAGTACTTGTTATGATACAAGAATATTTAAGATTATAATTGATATCATCTATGCTATCAACTTTGTCGGCAGGAATGCTATAGACCTTAATAGTACTCATTATGTCAGCATTCATAGCATTTGACCTTATCAGTGCCCATGTCAGCATTCATAGTATTTGATCTATCAGTGCTATGTGAATGTTCATGGTACAGTATTGGCCTTATCAGTGCTCATACAGTACAGTATGTCAGCATCCATGCTGTTGGCCTTATCAGTGCTCATATGTCAGCAATCATAGTAGTTGATCTATTAGTGCTTTGTGAACATTCATTGTATTGGCCTTATCAGTGCTCATCCAGTACATTATGTCCGTATCCCATACTGTTGACCTTTGGTAATGACAGCATCCATGATACTGACATTAAGGAGTTTTCGATTTGCACAATGACGTAACCCTAGAACGGATTCACTCATCCGTGACCAGCATTCTATGTTCTCTGCACAAAGCATATTCGGGCCAAACTGTGTTCTAGATTCTAGATAACAAGAGGTCAATGTGCGCAGATGACTTCTTAGTGATGTCATTATATTCTAGGTCCTACTACTGTCGCCATGCTATCGAATGCTCCCTATTATCAGTGCTCGTACGTCAGCATACAGGCTGTTGACCTTATTAAAAAATGTCAGCATCCACGCTATTGACCATGCTATTGACATTATCAGTGCTCACACATCGGCATTCAAGCTACTGATTTTAAAAGTGCTCATATACATTGTATTGACCATATTAGTGCTCATATGTCACTTCATTGGAACAGTAAATCACATTTGCCAGTGGAGTAGTTATTAATAATATAATCCAATAATTGCCTTTTCCATATGCATTGCCATGCAATGCACTTGCTGATGACTCTTCAAAATACAATTGTAAAAAAATAGATTGATAACTGTTTTTAGTACTGTAATGTTAACAATTTTTTCAAAGAGTTTGTGTAATTTGAATATCAAGATATCAAATAATAAGTTTATGTAATTAATTGATTACATGAAGGTTCTGATAAGTTATACAGGTATTCTGTTGGATAACTTCTGAGATTTTTCTAATGTTGAGACGACAACCACTGTAAGGTTGGTTGTCTTTTACATTCACTTGTTATGTGAATGTTATATAATAATGTATTCAATTAATAGCCACAGCAATACCTACAAAGTTGATGGAGTGACCATATATCTTTGCCAGTGATAGTTGAAGAATTCTATTCTATTGTATATAATGCAAATTAACTTTACCTACAGTAGTGTCAATTATATAATCATGTCATTTTATTTGATATTTTTCTTTGTTATTCCATCTTGCATCATTTGAGGTCAAATATTAAATTGTACTGTACAGTTTTTAGCATTATTCTCAACAATGCTTTATAAAAAAGTAGACCCTATGCTGTCTTTATATATAGAACATGTGACTATTTACAACCTTTTAAGATCTCAATTTAAAAACAACATTATTTATATTAAGATGTTTAAACTTCTGTATTTTGGCATTAATTGTTTATGTTATTGTATTAGAAATTGATAAATTTCCTAATAGATAATTTTCTTTTCTACAAAGTAATAAGTAATATTTATATTATTTATAAATACTTTTAAAAAAAACATCATTGGACAATTATAACCGGATGGTGCTCAGCAGACCAATCAAACCATAATAAATAATATATTAATGTTGTGCCTCATTATTCTGTCTTGGGGCTGAAGTGTTACCATCATGTTTTAACCATGGGCAATTTTGATTTTTAACCTATTCTGGACCTAGTTGGTGCTTGTTTGTAAATTGTAAACATATGTATATTTAATGAGGTATATTTATTATTGTTTCTTGTTTCATATACAGTACCTGTATTTAGAATCAGTCATAATTAGTCAGATGGAAAAATATACCCTTTCTTACCTACTTTAAAATGTTTATCATCTATTTAATAATGATGATGGCAAGATCTTTAATTGGGTAATTACAACTTAATCATTTTCCATCTGTACTAAACAAAACTAGCAGATTATGAAGGAATAGGGAACAAAGCAGAAAATATTGCAGATGAAAATAATTTGTGTTAATTCACAAGTACATGTTTTGACGGCAGCTACTTTACACCATCTAATCCTTCCTACTCTACATTTACTGAATGGAAATGATAAATGATGTACCTATCAATTCGAATTATTTGTAATTGCCAACTCAACTGGAAATTCATGTTCACGTACTTGTATCCCAGTTACACTCAATATACAACTGTAGCACACCTGGTGGTCTTAATAAAAAGTTCAGGACAATAGGATGATATGTTGATTAATATGGATTCTAAATTTTTTTTCTGTCTATTATTAAAAACTGCAACCAGACTTCTTTTTCTACTGAAAATCCTTCTTGCTGTGTTGTGATATAACTGACCTGCAACCTATGACCTGTGGCATCTGCTGTGAACACTTGCTTCAGACTTCTTTGTATTTTAAATCAATAAAGACATGCAAATCTGAAATTGAATTTGTGTTGCTCTTAATTTCAGATATTGAATTTTTTTCTATTTATATACACTTTTTTTTTTAGTAAGAACACATTATAAGAACACTAAGGCTGAAATGTCAACTAAGGTTTTTTTAAAAACAGAAAAGTACCATATGTGCATCTATGTAATATTATACAATATCCTCTTTATATACTGCTGTTCAATAACAGTTTTCTATGTTTCAAAAGTGTGTAAACATAAGAACAAAATAATAATAATAATTCCAGATTTGCAGATTATTTGGTTTCAAATGTCGATGTTTTATCAGTAGATTTGTCATCTGGGACATAAACCTTTCACGGTCAATCAAGTGCCACCCAAAATTTGACCTCAAGTCCAAGATGGCTGCAAAATGGCAACCAGAATTAACTTAATTCGGTAAATTCTGCCTATTATTTGTTCCTGTTAACATTTTTACAGTGAATTTGTTAGTCCTGAATTAATTTGAAATTAACTTTAAGGCTACCTAAAAGTTGACTTCATATCCAAGATGGCCGCTAAAATGCAAAAATGGCCACCAGAATTACCTTAATAAGATGTATATTGCTATACTTTTGTGTAAATAATTTTTTACGGGATCTGTCATCTAGAACCTGTATATGTAAAAATTTATTAGAGGGCCCGCCACACACACACTTCCTACGCAACGAATATAATATATATATATATATGAATATATATGTATATAGAGGCCTATAATAATAATAATAATAGTATAGTAGTAGTAGTAGTACAGGAATGTACCAGGCCTTTTCCTAAGGGATGAGCAAGAAAAATAACAAAAGCGATCAACAAAGACACCATATATAATATATATACCATATCTATATATATATATATATATATATATAAACAAACACTGTATTTACCTTCTCTTATACACATCT